GTGCATCTACCATTACTATCCATCTTCAGAGCTCAGTCATTTTCTCAGGCTGAAACCGTATTCATTAAACACTAACTCCCCGTTCCTCTTCTGCCCAACCCGGGCAGCCACCATTCTACTTTCTGTCTCTGTGAATTTGACTACTCTAGCTACCTCATGTAAGTGGAATTACACAATATTTGTTCTTTTGTGTCTGGCTTATTTCACGCAACATAATGTCTTCATACTCCATGTGTGTTGTTGTATGTGTCAGAATTTGCTTTTTAAGGCTGAATAATCTTTTACTGTATGTATATATGACATTTTGTTTATCTGGTCATCCATTGATGGACAGTTGGGTGTTCCTACCCTTTGACCATAGTGAATAATGAATACTGCTATGTGAGAGAATCTTCTAAAGCTTGCATTCCTTGTACTTCCTAAAGTTCACAGGTATTTAGTTCTCCTTATTCTAACATTCTCCCGCAGTGCATCTGGTGGTTGTGGTCTATTTCCCTAAGTCAGGGATTCACTAGAGAAGTGATTCTCAGCAGAGGATACTGGTAGTAGGTGTGGTTGACCTGACTCCCTCTGTGGTCCCCACCCCTGGAGATTTACTGGTGTAATTCTCTTTGAGCTGGATGTTTATAGCCAAGGTAATAGATGCTAATTCTGGAATATTTATTTAAAGAAATTAATGATAAATGCTGTTGAATTGCTTGTCTCCTAAAAATGAATTTAGTTTTGCTGTTTTAAATCGTCTTTGTTTTTTCTTTTAAAGATTTTATTTTTCCTTTTTCTCCCCAAAGCCCCCCGGTACATAGTTGTGTATTTTTAGTTGTGGGTCCTTCTAGTTGTGGCATGTGGGATGCCGCCTCAGCATGGCCTGACGAATGGTGCCATGGCCACGCCCAGGATCTGAACCATCGAAACCCTGGGCCGCCGAAGCGGGGTGTGTGAACTTAACCACTCAGCCACAGGGCCGGCCCCCTCATCTTTGTTCTTGAATCAGAGACTTAGGCAAACATTAAAAGGTATCTCTGGTTCTTTAACCTATAGTACTGCAAAGTTCTGCTCTTTAAGGAAATGTCTGGTTTCTTTGCTTTCTATCAGTTTTCTAGCCATTTCTAATCAGGCAGCAAGTTTTTGAGTTCTGATTTAGTTCAGAATATTATAGAAGTCTTTTGCCTTTGTAGTGTGGGCACGTTCTGGAACCTTTTATCTATTAATAAGGAATTATACTATTTAAAGGAAACATATCATTTCAGAATACTCTTTTTTATTGTTAACAGCTGTCACACTATGATTACATTACTGTCCTTGTGCAAATTTGTTTTCCACAGGCGTTAATAATTGCCTCGTTTAATGCCCTGTGAGCCATTGCCTGTTACTGCTTGCTCATTTACTTTTGATTTTCCAAGGATGTGTTGCTGTTTTTCATCCAGTGTGGGCTCTCCTAGTGTCTTTTACGTTGTGTGTTTGTATATTTTAAAAATCCTTTTCTCTTGTTTCACTGGTATTTCAGAAGGGAGGGGACACTAATGCATGTTTATCTGGAAATCTCTTCATTAAGTGGGCTTTTAAAATTGAAGTTCTTGACATAATAAGAGTTATCAAGCATTGCGTGTTTCCTTTATAACTGATTATCTAAATATTTGTTTCTTAATTTAGGCATTTAAAAAAAGGCAAATGGGCATGAATTAAACTCATTTGAAGGAATGATTATAGATTCTGAATGAATCAGAAAGAAATAGAAAATGTGATGATATTGCTCACAAATATTTAAATGCCTAGGCAAGGAACAGACACAGAATCAATAGAAAGAATAAGGAATAACATTAGGGAGCTGGGAAAAGAAGAGCAAATGAAATGCAAAGTAAGTAGAAGAAAGGAAATAATAAAGATAAGAGCAGAAATCAATGACATAGAAAATGGACAAATACTAGAGAAAATCAACAAATTCAAAAGTTGTTTGCTGGAAAGATCCTTGAAAGTGATGAACCTGTAACAAGACAGACCAAAGAAAAGGCCCAAGTTACCATTGTCAGAAATGAAAGAGGGAAAATAAAATCTTAAAGAAAAAAAAAAAAAAATGGAGCCAGCCCTGTGGCTGAGTGGTTGGGTTTGCGCACTCTGCGTTGGTGGCCCAGAGTTTCGCCAGTTCAGATCCTGGGTGCAGACATGGCACCACTCATCAGGCCATGCTGGGGTGGCATCCCACATGCCACAACTAGAAGGACCCACAACTAAAAATACACAACTGTGTACCGGGGGGCTTTGGGGAGAAAAAGGAAAAATAAAACCTTTAAAAAAAAACAAAAAAGAAATGAAAGAGGGGCTATCACGACAGATTCCACAGACAATAAAAGCATAATAAGGAAATATAATAAGTAACTTTATGCCAATAAAGTCAATAACCTGAGTGATATAGACAGATTAGAATGAGGTAGATCATAGACTTAAATGCGAAAATTCTGTAAAGCCTCTAAAAGAAAAAATCTGAATACGTTAGTGATCTGGCATAGGCAAAGAGTTCTTTGAGAGAACAAAGAAAGAAATAACCATTAAAAAATGATAAATTGAATTTCGCCAGAATCAGAAATTTCTGTTCATCAAAAGTTTCTTAAAATCAGTAGGCAAGCTACATATTGGGAGAAAATATTCACAGTTTATATATCGGACAAAGTACTTTAGTATATATAATGAAGTACAACACAAAACCAAACGCAGTTGAAAATGTGGGTTAAAAGACTGAAACAGACATTTCATAAAGGAAGCATAGGAATGGATAATAAGTACATGAAAAACATACTTAATAACATTAGTAATTGGGTAAATGCAAATTAAAATCCCAAAGATAGCATTTGTAAAGGAAAAAACTCAGAGTTTTCACCTATGTGTTTCTATCCTCTGAGTCTCCTTTACTCCTATAAAGATGAACAGCTAGATGAAGAGATACATAAGGCAAGAGATGGGAGAGTCCCGAGCGCAGGAGCTTCTGTCCTCATGGCGTTGGGATGTATTTCGGTGTGGATGTGTTCACCAAGCTGGAAGCTCTCTGAATCCCCTACTGTTGGGATTTTATGGGGGTTTCCTCACATAGGCATGATCAATTATTGACTCCATTTCCAGCTTCTCTTCTCTCTGGAGGATGGGGGTGGGGGGGACAGCTGAAAATTCCAAGCTTCTAATCTTGGCTTGATCTTTCTGGTGACCAGCCTCCATCCAGGAGCCCACCCAGAGTCGCCTCATTGGAACAAAAGATGCTCCTAGTGCTCTTATCACTTAGGAATTTACAAGGGTTTTAGGAGCTCTGTGTGAGGAATGAGGTCAAAGACAAATATTAGAACAAGAGATGCTGCTAGTGTTCTTATCACTTAGGAAATTACCAGAGTTTTAAGAACTCTGTGCCAGGAGCTGGGGGTAGAGCCCAATATATATATTTTCTATTATCTCACACCGTTACACATCCACCAGAATGGATAAAATTTAAAAAGACCACACAGTATATAGGCAAGTATGACGTATAACTGGAATTCTCATATATAGTTGAGGAAGTAGAAAATGGTACATCCGCTTTAGAAGACTCTTTGATGGTTTCTTATAAAGTTAATGTACATCTACCCCATGACTCAGCAATTCCATTCTTTGTTATTTACCCAAGATGAAAATGTCCTCAGAAAGACTTTCATATGAATCTTCATAAAAACTTTGTTAATAGCCCCCAAACTGGAAACAACGCAGATGTCCAATAATGGAAGGATGGGTAAAGAAATTGTGGTATAGTATTCAATGAAATACTCCTCAGCAATGAAAAAGAACAAAGTGCTGATGCCTGCAGTCACACTGATAAATCTCTAAAAATGCTGAGCAGAAGCCAGACACAAGAGAACATGCTGCTTGATTCTATCTTTATGAAATTCTAAAATAGGCAAAACTAATCTGTGACTGAAATCAGAACATATTTGTGTCTGGAAGGGAATGACAAGAATGGCACAAGAGAACTTTCCAGGGTGATGACATGTTCTACATCTTGTTAAGATTTTGAGATATAAGGGTGCGTTTGTTAACTGATCCAACTGTATACTTATGATTTGTGAATTTCACTATGTGAAAATGATACTTCAATTTTCAAAAAGCCAGAACAATACCAGTAAAAATTATGAGTGTATTATTTACTCTCACTGAACAGTACTTGTAGTTTTCTGTCCTTATTCTCAAAGCACCTATGTGTTTCACCACTCACTTGATAGGTATATGAACACTGTTTTTATTGAATGCAGCTCTGATGCCTATAGAACAATAGTGTGGAGAATTTTGTTTCTGTCCAGTTGATTTCCCTTGTCATGATGTTTGAAGAAAGCTAGAGTGAAATTCTTAAGTTTATCAAGTATCTTTTGAGGATTAATCTAGAACATCTGTCAAGTTACATCAGATATGGTGTACCTCTAAGTAGTTGGATTTCCCGAGAAAAAGTTTGGAAACACGTTGGCTTTATTGTGCTTTAAAAGAACATGTGCTAGTGATTCTTTCTTTCTTTTTTAAATACAGAAAAGTATAAAGAAGAAAATCAAAATGGCCCATAACCTTACCATCCAGATAGTTCGTTTCCCTTTAAAAAATGAGTAATATATGCTTCTGGTAATAGAATTCACTTGGTTCAGAAAGTTATAAGAAGCAAGCTTCATGCCCTTAATATTTCTTTCTAAAGATAAAACCCTATGAAGTGTAATATGTCCTTGAAGAAGAACTTGTTCAGATATCAAAATATATAATTTTTGAAAATATTTATACAAAAAGCAGTTTTATTGTACACTGCTTTTGTAGCTTGATTTTTTTTCACTTAGTACCTCTTGAAGATATTTCTAAATTAGTATATACCCTATTATTTTTCTATCAGTTATATATCTTTCATTACATTGTATACGTGTATTATATATTTAACTAGTTCCTTACTGGTGGCCATTTAGATTATTTTCATTCTTTTAATTTAAAACAATGTTTTAAAGAACAACTTTGTGCTGGTGAAATGTTGTATCTTTTTGTTTAAAAAATGTTTAAGCCTTCATAGATTGGCAGTTTTTGACCCTTCTCCTATTTTAGGAGACTGTGGAAATAGCTGTGTCTTCCCAACATTGGCACTATTGACATTTTAGGCTGGATATTTCTTTGTTGTAGGGGCTGTCCTGTGCATTGTAAGATGTTTAGCAGCATCTCTGGACTCTGCCTACTAGATGCCATAGCACCGTGCTCCCCTAGTTGTAAGCACCAAAAATATCTCCAGATATTGCCAAATGACCCTTGTGGTGCAAAACTCCTGATGGTTGAGGACCAGTGGTACAGAGCGCGTTGCAGATTCACACAGATGGTTCCTGTTACCTCTCTTGTGACTGAGGAGCTCCAGAAATTAGATGTGAGGCATATTCCTCCTTATCTTGGGGTGTGAGTGGATACAAAAGAAGGGGAGTTGGAGGAATGGACGTAGGTATATCTCAGAGTCCAGGGAGTGCGTCAGAGTTCTTTTTGAGCAAGTGATAGCTGTCAGAAACCACAGTAACCCAATATATATTCTATTATATATTCAGCAAGTGTTTGTTAAATGCCTACTATCTGCTAGGTACTATAAGGGGCACTGGGTATTTCATGTTAAAAAGATGTGATTGCTACTTCGTGAAGCTTAAGGTTTAGAGGTAGACACAGACATTTAGTAAGTAATTTATAAATAGTATACATGCTGTTGAAGGAAAAGAACCAGATGTCATGAGAGAATAAAAGAGGGGCTTATTTAGAGTAGAGCTGGTAGCCGTTGAAGGCTTCTACTAAACCTGTAGGTTTTCACTAGATTTGGGGAAGGGACTGATAAGAGTGTTCCAAGTGGAGTGAATAGCATGTATTTGAAGTTGCAAGGTGTCAAGGTGGGAAAGATTCAGCTTTTCATGGAACTGAAAAAATGCTAGTTTGATTGGAGAATGATTGAATGAGAAAGGAAAAGTCGATTTAAAATAAGGGGGGAGAGATGGTCATGGGCCAGATAATGTCCCTTGTGGGTGAAGAGTTGGGATAATATTCAAAGTGCAGTGGGAAGCTCTGTAAGGATGATAAGCAGGCGAGTGAGACAATCTGTTTTACATTCCAAAGTGATTATTCTGGCTGCGGTGTCGAGTATGTATAGGAGAGAGGCAAGAGTAGAGTTAGGGAAACCTAGTAAAGCTGTGGTAGGTAGCTGAAACCTAATGGGTGATAATGATATTAGGTTGATGACAGTGGAGGTAGAGGGAAATGAACAGATTCCAAAGAGATTTTGAAGGTAGCATTAATAAAAATTATAATAATTTGAACGTGGGTGGTGAAGAGCGGAAGATGTGCATGGTGACTTCCAGAATTCTGGCTTGAATGAATGGATTCAGTTGCCATTACTGAGATGGAGACCACCAGTACGAAGCATCTTGCATGAGGGAACATAGAAGAGCTAGAGTTCAGCTTTAGATGTGGGAAGTTGGAGATGCCTGTGAAGTATCTTATTAGAGATATCAAGGAGATAAACATAACACACACACTGGTGTTGAAAATAGGAATCTGGTGTCCAGAGGAGAGGACGTAGATTGGAAATGATAAGTTGACAGTTGTCAGCATATAGATGATAATATTGTCTAGGAAGAGAATGTGTCTTGATGAGAGAATTGGGGCCAGGGCTGAACCCTGAGGAAATGTGATGTTTAGAGGTTCGGTAAAGAGGAGCAACAGGCAGAGAGAGGACTAAGATGCTTGAGAGGTGGGAACCAAATCGGTAGAGTGTGATGTCATAGAAACCAAGCTGTGTTCCACAGGGCAGTTGGGAGGGGATTATGGTCAACTATGTCTAATGTTCTGAGAGTACTAGTAAGCCTGCCTTGTTGCTGATGACTCCTTAGACACACTGAACTATTCTGATTTCTTATAATACTTGAGGGGCATGGGGTTTTAGCCACCGGTGGAGATTAGGGCCCAAACAGGGAAAGGATCTTAAGAAAATTTGTAGCCTGTTGGATTGGAGCAGCTTTCCTAACCTTTTCTGTAAGAAGCGTAGCACAGAAAAACTATTCTAATGGTAAGCTTTGAGTACAGCTGACACATGACCCGCTCTTAGGGAATACGCCACCCATAGCAGCAAGATATAAACGTGAACATTTGTCATGTTCTCTCTAATATAGTTCTTTTCCTTGGTGATAAAAGTTGCTTTCCACTTCATACATCAATACTACTTCAAAATACTGCAGATTTGCGTAATAAATACTTTCTATTCCCTGAATATGGATATGAGAATTTGAAAATTTATATTTAGGGTATTTGCGCAACATCTTTCTTGTTTCAGTTTTTCCTTTTGCCTCATCTTAGATCTTAGCAAAGATACTCATTTGTTGCTAGTGCCAGGAAGCAGGCAGTTTCCATGGTAACTGACAGACTGAGTTTACTGTGGAAATTTCCGGAATTAACAGAGCTGCATTGCAGAAGGATGCATAAAGCAGTATTCATCTAGAGATCCTAACAGTATGGACACAGAAGAACAGTTGCAGTGGTGTGCAGGGTATGTGTTATGTTTATTTTCCTGTCTAAGGAGGATTACTAGTTATATATATATGTGCTGAGGAGAGAGTAAAACAGATTGACGCGTTTTAGAATATGTTGGCTTGATAAAATCAAGGATGCTTAGGGGAAAAGAAGGAGGAAATAACTTTGGAAGAAAGATATATTTGATGGCATTGAGAGGAAATCAAGACCAAGATAAACGAAGTAGAAGAATGTGGTCATGAAATAAGAGGAGAAGACACACTTCAAACTAATTAGACAATAAAAGGTTCTTACAGATGGTGGTTCTGGCACAAGAAAATATTTGTTTATCAAAGGAAAATTAGTAGACATTAGCAAATTTGAGGAATCAAGTTCCCATGTCCAGGAAGAAGAAATCTGTTAAGGTAATCAGCTCTTACTTGCTGTAAGATACATAGATAAGAGAGGTGGCCAAGGTGTTAAGGAGGTTTGCTGCCTTCTTATTGTACTTATTATTTACCTAAGCTGTAAGAGAATCAGGGAAGGGTTATCAGACCCCTAATCCCCCTTCCTGTTGATCTGTGGGGAATTTTTAAGAAAAAGCCTGAAATATATCTTGAGATTAAATTCTGCAAATAAAACTACAGGCATGCCTTGGGTTGTGGTAGCATAATTCCAATCACTGCCTCTGTCTTCACTTGACCTGCTTCCCTGGTCTCTCTGTATGTCTCTGTCTTCTTCTTTTCTGTCTCTTACAAGGACTCTCATCATTGTGTTTAGGACCAACCCTAATCCAGGATGACCATTTCTCAAGATCCTTATCTTTAATGATATCTGTAAAGATAGGGTCATGTTTTGAGGTTCTGGATGGACATATCATTGTAGGGGCCACAATACAGCGCACTGCGTATGGTATTGAAGAACTTGGTTTTGGCTTCTTAGACCACATTCTGGTTTTTTTTTGAGGAAGATTAGCCCTGAGCTAACTACTGCCAATCCTTCTCTTTTTGCTGAGGAAGACTGGCCCTGAGCTAACATCCATGCCCATCTTCCTCTACTTTATATGTGGGACGCCTGCCACAGCATGGCTTTTTGCCAAGCGGTGCCATGTCTGCACCCAGGATCTGAACCGGCAAACGCTGGGCCACCGAGAAGCAGAACGTGCGAACTTAACCGCTGCGCCACCGGGCCAGCCCTTAGACCACATTCTATGTTAAGAATAACTAGCTCCTGGCAAGTTTCCTTTGGAAACGTATGAAGAATATACTCTGCAATAGATGTGTTGACCAGAGAGGATATTAAATTCACTTTTTAAGGACAGAACGATACAGGCATAGTTAAAAATCCTAGAAGACAGCCTCTGTGATGCAAACAAAGCAACAGGGTAAAGGCAGAACTAGAATAGTCACAGGAGGAAAACTAAAAAAATTCCTAGGAAACTGGTGAGCAGTGTCTGATGCTTCATATCTCCATCCGTCTTTCTTCAGCTCCCAACCCCCCCAGAAACAAAGTGAATTTGGAATTTTAATGAAAGATGGTTGAGGGGCCCGGCCCAGTGGCACAGTGGTTAAGTTCACATGTTCCGCTTCTGCCGCCCGAGGTTTGCCGGTTCGGGTCCCAGGCACGGCGGACATGAACCTCTCAGCACGCTATGCTGTGGTAGGCACCCCACGTATAAAGTAGAGGAAGATGGGCACAGATGTTAGCTCAGGGCCAGGCTTCCTCAGTGAAAAGAGGAGGATTGGCAACAGTTAACTCAGGGCTAATCTTCCTCAAAAAAAAAAAAGAACAAAAAACCACACACAAAAAAAGAAAGATAGTTGGCACCAAAATAAGAATCAGAGTTTTGAGGGATTAGACTCATGACTAGATTATGACAATGGGAAATATATATAGGATTAAAAGTAAGTAGTTTGTAAATGAGTGGTGGAGTGGCAATGTAGAATTTATACACCAGCATATAGAGCAGTGAGTTTAAGACTTGACTCTGGCTGGAGAACCTTTGTATCATTATGGGAGTATACAGGCTGTTGGTGTAGGCAGGAGTGGTCTGTGATATTTTCTTATCATCTCAGCAGGTTTATAAGTCATAGTGGTGACAGTAGATATCTATCCTTGCTTCCCTTGGAAGTTTCATTTAGCTTATTTGGGTGTGTTTGGAAATGTTTAAGAAGTGATCCATGCTCATGGTGAGCAATCATTAGTAGGCAGGGGATTCCAGTGTGGATGCAGGAGCTGCAGAGAAAACTCTCATTCTGTACTTTAAGGTTTCCTAGCCTAACGCCTGTATCTCACCTGTGCACCTTAAAGTGAAACCTGACTTAGACCTTGTGGAGATAATCATCAGAAGAATTTAGCGGAAGTTGTTAGAAGTGGAGCCAAATTAGGGTTCACTAAGAATAAACAGTACCAAACTAGCTTAGTATACTTCAAGAAAAGTGTTCTGGGACTGTAGATTAGGAATTTGCCATTGACTAGGTGTTTCTTGATTTCAACATATATGGGTACAGAGGAGGAACAGTAAGCCCAATCCAGGCTCTTCAGGCAGAGTTTCCTGAAGGACCAGACTGGATGAAGTCTGTATTTCCTTTCTGATCACATTCTGTTCGTCTGTGACTCTGTATCCTGAACACCAAATTGAGATTTTAGGAAGCCGTGGGAATGAAAGCTTTCTTCCTTTAACAAAATATTTCATGCATTGTGCCGCCCATGTTTTTTATGCTTAAGCTTAAATAGCTTCACAGAAAGATTCAAATTCAACTATAATTAGACTTTAACTTTTTACTTTTCTATTCGCATCTGGAATATACATAAGGAAATAGAATGAGATAAAGTTTAAAGCATAGATTGGGATTAAGTTGAAACCGGTTGATCGTAGTTCATACAAGCTAAAATTTGAACACTATAAGGGGTTCAGAAATACCCTAGATTTCAGGTGTATGTATTATATAAAATACGTGTGTTCCTAAATGTCTGTTAATAAAATTTATTTCCATAAAATCTTTTTCTCATTGACTTGTTTAGAGAAGTGTCCCCCCAAATAATAAAGGTAATCTTGAGAATATAGTTCTTTCATAGGTATATCTATAAAAGACAATTCACATAGTAATAGTATTAAAAATTAGTTACAGATTATGAGTGAAAAGTAGTTAAGACCCTTGGTTCTTATTTGCTTCTGGAACTAAAGTTCTGATTATGTAAAAGCAATTTCAGATTTGTAGGACAAAATGGTGTATAAGTAGCAATGTCCAGCTAAAATATTTATTAAGAAACAAAGATGAAACAGAAAATTAAGACAACTTAATGCTAAACTCTATATAGGATCTGTAGTAATAATAACATCCAGAAGAAAGAACAAATTTACCTAGGGTTTCTGTTAGAGCATGCCTGCAGAGACTGCCTGAGGAAAGGTGACTTCTTCTGAGCCACTAGTCTCAAAGACAGAGCATCTTCATCCCCTTTCATTGTCCTCGGCCCCCTAACACTGGTAACTACCAGAAAATAACAGTGGGGAGGGATGGAAGGAGGAAGGAAGAATGATTATAGACACATTCTGTCGCGGAAGTGTGGTCATTATGAGTAATGTTTTAGGTGAACGTAGAGAAGGATTGTAGTAGCAATACACACTGAGAATTGTATTTTTGTATTTGTTACTGTCAGTTGAGAGTATAGTATTAGAGAAAGAGGAGATTGGGGCTTGGAGAATTTGCTGCTGGAGCAGTGAGTGCTCCAATTGGTAATACACTGAGCCCTGGATGTTTCAAACTATAGCTATGCCTGTGAACTGTAGAAATGTAGTAGGCAAATCCCTTTCACACAAGAAGAGTACGGCCTGAGGACAATCTTCTCTCCACAATTTTACTGAGATATAATTGATGTGTGATAGACTGTGCATATTTAAAGTGTACAATTTGATAAGTTTTGACATATATATACCCGTGAAACCATCACCACAGGCAAGGTAATGAACATCTCCATCATCCCCCAAAATTTCCTCTGCCCTGTTGTAGTTTGTATATCTAGATGTTTGAATTGGTTCTTTTTCTATGTATTCCATGTCTATTTAACATATTCTCTCCATCCTTTAGTTTCTTGAACATGGGGAATATAGTGATAAACACTGTTTCATTGTTGTTGTCTACGAATATCAGTATCTCTGTCATTTCTGGGTCAAGTTGGTTCAATTTTCTCTTCTTTATTGGTCGTATTTTCTTGCTTCTCTGCATATTTTGTGATTTTAGATTGCATGCCAGACATTGGGTGGTGGATGTTTTTATATTCTTATAATATTTTTGAGCTTTGTTCTTTGGTTAAGTTACTTGTAAATAGTTTGATCCTTTTGGGTCTTGCTTTTTAACTTTGGTAGATGGGACCAGATCCTTCTAAGTATGTTCCTGGATTCTCCATGAATCTAGTGGGCAGGATAGGAATTGTTGTATGTGCCAGGGTGTTGTTCCTTTTCATCCATTTGGGTGCTTCTTTCCTCAGGCTTGTGTAGATTCCTTATAAGTGTCTGCTGATCAAGGAGGGCCCTCTGTGTATGTGTGGGGTTCTCTTTCTCTCTTTCTGTGCAGCTTTCTCTTATCTGGTACTCTGCCTTGTGAAGTCTAGCTGTGGTGTCTACCTAGACGCCCAGATCCATCTTCTCAACACAGGGGTACTGCCAGGATCTCCCTGGATCCCCCTCCCTGCATCATGGTCTGTGAACTCTCTCCAGGCCCCCAGTAAGCTGGGGGCACTTGTAGGGCTCCCCTTGTGTGTTTTCTGTCTCTCAGTGCTCACTGCACTTTGTTGTCTGATGTCTTGTGCCTTGAAGACTGTCTCATATATCATTTCTGTTTTTTCAGTTGTTTCAAGCGTGAGGGTAAGTCTGTCTCCTGATGCTCTGTAGTGGCCCAAGCACAAGTGCCACACGGATACTCATTGTGAGATGGGAGCAGGAATTATGCAACTGAGGAACAATATCTTCATGACTTTGAGAAAGAGCATCTCTGGATATATTTTGCAGCATTCAAAAGAGTTTTTTACAAGAATGGT